TGCTAGCAGCCATACCTTGAATTATTTGATCAAATTTCCACCTCTCAGCATCATCCAGAGCTTTCATGTTTCCCAAGGGATCATAGAAATGTGAGCACATTGACAGTATCATCTCTGCAGCTCCTTTCCAGTGCACATTGATCGTGTTGTCAGCCTTCTTCCTCATTAACACTCCGCTTCGTTTCTTTTCTGAATTGAAGGGTTCAACATCAAGAACAGTACAACTCTGCATCAGTTCCTCCATAACCATATTTAATTCAAGGATAGCCCAAGAAAGAATTGCTTTCTCTGTGGGGCTACCAGAGAATTCGAATTCCATCCCTGAAGCGGGCTTGTAAACGCTGCCAGTAGTGTTCAGACCAACTCCTTGGTGGAGCAATTTCAGAACATTGGCTGCAATTGAAGTGTATCTCCTTTCTTCTATAAATTCTTGGCCTAACCAAAACTTTGTCACCTTCATCTGGTTCAATGTGAGGGTGCCTGTCTTGTCTGTACATATGGTGGTGGCAGAACCCATAGTCTCACACGCAGAGAGCTTTCGAACCATAGCCTGATCAGCCATCATTTTCTTCATTGAATAAGCCAAAGTAAGTGTTACTGCCAGTGGCAAGCCTTCAGGAATAGCAACAACTACTATAGTGACTGCAGCAGCGATAATTTTCACCATAACGCTGATCACATCATCTGCTTTAGTCTTGCTACCGCTGAACTCTGTATTTCCATTATCATCTTTTGTGTTTCCAGTGAAGTACCGAATCAACAGCACCACCAGAACAAGGAAAGCAACTGCCAAACCAACCTTACCTATTGACGAGGTTAGCTTGTTTAGCCGAGCTTGTAATGGTGTTTGCTCATCAGAATCACGGCTGATTGTGCTCATCATCTCGCCCCACGTTGTGTTCATGCCAACTGTAGTGACAAGCATTCGAGCATACCCATCAGCCACCTTGGTGCCAGAAAACAAGAAGGGATTCTGACTGCGATTAACTTCCACATGCTCACTTTCCCCTGTCATGCTTGATTCATCCACCTGCAACGAATGCCCGTCTATGAACAATCCATCAGCAGGAATTTGATCTCCAGTCTTCAAGCAAACAATATCTCCAACAACAATTTCAAATATTGAAATCTGTTGGCGCCTTCCGCTCCTCACAACTTCTACTTGGATGTTGTTGCTGACCTGGGACAACTTGTCAAATTGTCTATTTTGTTTGAAGTTACTCACAGCTGAGAGAGTGATGACAAGAAGGACAGCCACAAATATGCTTCCGCCATCATACCATCCTTCTTTAGGCCCATGCTCTTTGATGCCAAAAGCAAGAGAAAGTGCGGCACAAACCAAAAGGATAAGAATGGTCGGATCTTTCAAAGCTTCCCACAAAAAATGGAAGAAACCTTTTGTGGGAGGCTTGTGATATGTGTTGGTGCCAAAAGTTTCATGTCTACGTCGAATGTCATCAATATCACCACGTATGCCGTTTTGCACTTCAGTTTTGAGTGTCTTAGCCAGACCTTCAACCATGCCAAGTTGGACAAGATTGTCTAGTTTTTTCTCCTTGACAATCCGAGTGAGGCATGACTGATTGACGACGGAGTGGCAAGGGTGTGACTGAATAACATCAATGAGGACATTAGAAGATTGAACAGGGGAGAACTTACTAGTGTTGTTTTTGGCAAGAGCTGCTTCTCTGAAGTGAGAGAGTAAGGCCCTTGAGCAATAGATGGTGGCAAGCGCCATGTGCCATCTCTTTTTGTTGGTTTTGCTAAGGGTAGTGGGCCTGTCATTGTCGAGCAACAGCTCCATGTCCATGCAATTCAAGTTTGCATGAAATATTGCAGACATGGTTTTTGGAGAGAACAGAGCAAATTGATCTACAAGTAAGAGCCTAAAGAAAAGAAGTTCCAAATGTGAAAATCTTAGCTGTTGGTTGCAAACTTGTAATGTGTGTGTTTTTGGCCATTCGGCATATATACACTTATATAGCTAGCTCTGTGTGCTGGCGTGTGGATCCAAATATGCGCTTGATCTCTCTATGAATTACGGCCCAAGTTTGGAATACAATTAGTTCGATGACAATAACAAATACAAAAGGAGTTCAGAATAGTACGACTTTATTGAAAGTAGAAACGATCAAGTTTTGATTTTTAGTTTAAAGATCTTGACATCAATAAGTTATAAAAATCGGTTGAAATTTTTATCAATTTCTTAGAAGTTAAGAATGCTTCTATATTTTAACAACTGTAATTTTCATTAATCTTGTGAGTCCTTTTGATACCGTACTTTTAAAAGTAAAATGAAAAAGAGAAAAGAAATACTTTCCGACAATGTTTACAAGCAAGCCACCCATGCCATGACTTTAGATCACCTTTTTTTTTTTTTCTTTTTCCGAAAGGTTATATTTACTTTTGAAATTAGTATTGCTTAGGTCGGGGGATTTTAGGTCATGGTCGGAAGAAAAAGAGTGGAAGTTACCTGATATTTAGATTGTAATTGAGAAAGCAATATTGTTTGAGAGGAAAGAAAAGCACGGTGGGAAGAGAAGAAAAATGAGGGGAGTGGAAATAATTTTTCATCTTCTCACTTCGATTTCCCACGTTCAAGTCAACAGATCACAGATATGCCAACGTCGGCCGCCGGAATTCTTAATCACCGTTCCCATCCATCGCATTATTACGTACAGAGACTCAGAGTGTTTGGCTTTCGTCTTTTTCATAAGTAGGGAAAACAAACAGAGCAGCCTTTCCAAATATAAGTCCTTGATTCAGTTTAAATTTTTATTTATCAAAAATTAAAAAGGAAATGATAATTATTTTTCAAAATATTTAAATTTATATTAAGTGACATTTTCATTATTATAATAACATTTTAATGATGTGTCATTTTCTTAAATTTTTATTTTTAAAAAATTAAAAAGAAAAACGGAAATGAAAATCATTTAAAATAAAACCAAATTCTTATTAAAAGGCAGTTTTGTTATTATAACATAATTTGAAGAGGTTAAGGAGGCTGTTGCAAGAATTAAATAATTCAAGGAAGTTTTAAGTCAATTTTTATTTATTTATTTTTCTAAGAAGGTATTGTACCAAAAATTATAAGTGGAGGGGGATTTTACAATTTGCCCTAATTATAACAACAAAAACCCTAATTTTTCAACGCACTGCAAAGAGTCACTTTGATCTAACAAGCTGGCCTAAGATGTCAATGCGTCCAACCTAAAATTTCACTTGGACAACAACTAGTGCACTTGATTTTCGCCTATATCTCAAAAAAAAAAAAAAAATTTATGTCAATTATAGTCATAGACAATTCCTTTTGGATTAAATGCGATACAAACTTTTTGAAACAACAGTGCCGCAACCCTAATTTCATCATGCATATTATGTTATCACCTTTGAGCTACATCGCAATATGTTCTCTTGAAAAAAGAAAATATTATGTGACTACAGAAGAAATATAATGCTAGTACGCAACTTTTTACAACATAATTCAGTATAATAAAAAGACTATCTAAAAAGAGTTGTGCCCTTCTTATGAATTCCAAGTTACTATCATTACTGAAAAGGCTTTAAGGCTTAGTAGTTGTACTTTTTACAAAATTAATAAATAAAAATAAACTTAATTATAAATCAATAAAAAATCATATCATAAATAACATTAAAAAAATTAACAAAGACACTTATAAATTTGAAAAAATATATGATTTTGTCTACATATAAAGGTAACTAGACAAAATAATAATTTTCTATAGATGTGATTTTAAAGGGTTTTGTGTTAATTAAATAAATAAATAAATAAAAACAATGCAATTTGTATTGTTGGTTAAATAAATAAATAAACTAGCACTAAAAATAGCAGAAGATGAAGCTGGTTTGAATGGCAAAAGTCCCAAGTTAAGAAGCAGTATCTAGCAGCAATATGTTTCAAGACTTGAATGTTATTATCAATGCAATTTGTATTTGCATTAGACAGATCATAGATATATTAAAGAAAAACACACACACACAAACCTTGTAGATTAATAGATTTAATCATCAATGAACGGCAATAGATTCCCCCATTTCAAGTTTCCATATAAAACCTTGATTAGAGTACCTTCCAGGCGGGAAATGAGCCGAGCGGAGGAACCAACTCAAACTCAGGCTAAAGAAATCAACAAGCTCTACAATCAAGTCTGAACTCAACTCATTTACCTGACAGTGATCTTGATCAAATTTGTACACAAGTTGATATCAATTCAAGCTCGTGTAACTTTTGCTCGTTCATATGCTAAATTCAAGTTAAATTATTAATTAACAAACTTTAAAATAAAGTCAAGCTTGGCTAACATCAATACACCAAGTCACAAGCCAAACTTCAGAAATACGTTACATCCTTAGACCATTTCCAATGCCCTCTCAAAGTCAAAATATTGTAGGTGGATAAAAATAACATACTCCAATGGGCTCTCAAAGGACCTCTCATAGTTTGAGATTGTCAAAAGTATTGCCATATATAGCAGCTTTCAAATTTTTTTGAGAGGTCTCTTTTTTCTTATACGGTGCCGTTTCTCAAAATATAGCAGGTGGATGAAAATAATACACTCCAAATAGCATTTCGGATGAAATGCACCATTGAAGCAGAATTGCTAAAATATAACATTTTGACACTGTAACTCCTCTCAAAATATAACTTTGACATAAAAAAAAAAAATGTATCATTTTTGCATTGGAGATGCTCTTAGGTAAGATGCATACATATTGCCGTATCATAGGCATCTGCCAACATATAAGACATCCATTTACAGCACCAGATGATAAGTACAAAGCTTAAACAATTCTAGATAATCAACTTACTATAGAGACAAACCACTATATTTTGATTGATTGGAACTTCCGCCAAACTATAAAAATTAACAACGGAGACAAAAAGCATTGAAATTAGACTGAAAAAGAAGCTCAGCAAACTCACCTAATTATCCCTTCCGAGCTAAAATCAAATGGAGTCCTATCATGAAACAAGAATGGTGAAGTATTCTCACAAAGCAAGAGAATTAGAAGAAACTCGTAGCAACGAGTTAGACGTGAAGATGATAGAATTGCAGGAGACGAAGGAAGAACTCAAGAGAGCAAAAGAGAGCACGACGCAGTCATGGTTAGACTCCAAGCCTCTCATTGACGAGCTGGAGAAATTTCAGTCAAGCCTTGCGAGTGCAAAAAGCAAATGTTCCATATCTAATATTGTCATCTCAGAGCTTCAATCTCAGCTTGAAACCACAATCATGTCCATCAGATCCAAAAAAGAGGAAGAATTCAAGGTCAGAACAACGATCAATGAAATAAATCAGTCTTTGGATCAAACACGTGAAGAGATGGAACAACTCAAACTGCACACGGATGAAGAACGGCGAGCAAGATCAAAACTAAAACAAGCACTTCGGCTGAGGAGGCAGACACTTCGGACATTGCAACTCTCTCTAAGAGCAGTTCGGTTAGAATCAGAAGGTCTTGGTGCATCTGCAGCAGAAGCACTTCACTACATCAATTGTTCGGAGATGGACAACACCACAGTCCAACTCACACAGGAAGAATATTATGCATTAACAAGAAAGGCTAAAGAGGAGACTTCGCTTGCAGATTGGCGAGTTCAAGTGTCCATGGAACAACAACTCATGGCCAAGGAAAGCCGAGACTCAACTTTAAGAAGATTGAAAGAAGTACACTCTGACAAGAAATCAAGGAAAAGGAATATGAATGACAAAACAACTCGAGATGGAAATGGCACAAGAGAGGCAGAACAAAAAGATTCAAGGATGACGATGGGAGCCCCAGTGAACAATAGAGAGACTGCTTTCCCTAAAGCTCGAGCCAAGTTAATTGGTGAGTCCAGCCAAGGGAATACTCGACAGCAGTTGAAAATATCAAGAAGCAATAACAACAAAATAATGGAAAAAAAGAAGGCTTCCATTTTTGTAAGAATCAAATCTTTTCTTGTACGAAACATTACTAGATTGTTTGGATGATTTTAGATGTATTAATTCATCTCATAATAAGGGAACCTAGTTTCTCTCTACAATAAACCCCTTGCAATTCTAGCTTAGAGCAAAACTAACTGAAGCTTTAAGTTACTCATATTTGTTCTCTTCAAGGGATCTAGAAGCGTCAAAACACGTCCAACATAGAAGTGACTGCGAGTTCTACTGAGTAAGCCTTCTTCGCCTGATCACACCTACCAGCATTATTGCAGTTATTTTAAACTTTTAAATTGCAATTAGAAAGAGTAAATAAAAATAATTTGAATGTCACATGAAATAATTGATATCAAGTGAAGATTACTAGCCGCCTTCTTTGCAAAAGCAAGCTCTTTGTTTATACCACCGGGAGAAAAAGTGTTAGATTGATAGCTTAATAGAAACATCTGAATAGTTGCTCGCAAGCAGAGTATTTCTTATTTTCTTTTCAAATCCCATAGATACTAAATCTTTCACTTGTAAAATTCAATCGGATTAATTACATTTCCTAATTTTGCAAAGGTTTCATGAAAGCAAAAGGGGGAAATAAATAAATTTTGCAAGATGAAAATAAAATTAATAATTTGTGGGTTATCTTTAAGAAAATAAGCTTTCGAGCATCAATTGGTACCATAAATTATGAAATTTAGAACACAATTTAATTTCATATCATATGAAAACCCTAAAGTGTCAAATTTCTTTGAATAGTGGAACTTTGAGTAGACAAAAAAAAAAAAATGAAATGAAAATCAAGCTCATCATAAGTTTATCACAATTTTTAATAGAGTAATAATACTTGTACCGATTTATTGTAGTCAATTACCTAACCGAATGTTACTTATTGGTTATTTATATACCATAGATGCAAATGTATGCCCATTTCTTTATTTATGCATAAATGGATCAATTAAAAAAAATAAGTCTGACAATTCACTACAACAAATTGCATAAATAAAGAAGTGAGGCTCTCCACTTACATGTATTGTGCATAAATAACTAATTAAAAATATTCGGTTAGATAATTCACTGCAACAAATCGGTGCAAGCATCATTAATCTTTTTAATAACATTACCAAAAAAGTTGAATAAAGTATATTGAAAACAAGGAAGAATCAAAAGATAGAGAGGGTCTACAGTATTTCACCACGTTATAATTTGATATTGGCACACTCAAAAGATAGACATATGGAATGAAAAGAGAAATTTCTACTAGTTCAATTTCTTTATCCTAACATGCCATGACATAATGTCAACAGAATTGCACAAATCTACACGTGTCATAGTTAATTAATCTCCAAACAAAAATTTACTTCCCGTTTTGATTATTCAATCAAGTTCAAATAAAGAAATTAGAAGTTGGTTAGCAATAACCTCATGCACAGTTAATTTTAATGGTTTTTATGTCTTGAAATATGCACATATAATACTACTACAATTGATCATTCAGAGAGATAATTGCGTCATTTGCACGCCCTAGACAAAACTTTATACCTATGAAATATATAGATTGTGTACTGTATAATAAAGAGAGAGGATCTTGAAATGGAGAGGAACACCAACCAGTGTTTGTGCCAATGCCCTTCTATCCAGTACAGAGAGCCTTGAAATGGAGAGGAACACCACCATCCTCACCAATCCCTTCTCCGATTCACTACTTTCTCTCTCTAAACTTCGTACTTAAGTGAAATCAAAACCCTAAACCCTAACCTAAACCGAGTCTGTGATACAAAAAAATGTCGAGGCTGATCTGATGATGCGGTGCACAAGTGCGCCTTGTTCTTTGTTTTAGGGCTGCGATAGAGTGCTGCTAAGGTGTAGGTGTTCGCAAGAATACATATCGTATGATTGATATAAGGACGCAGAGGGTACGGATTGTAAGGAGATGATGGGGAAAAAAGAGAACAAGAGAGACTTTGGAAGGTTAGGAGCGTTGACCGTGGACTTTTCCCACCAATTACAGATAGAACATGGAAGGGATGCAGGGCGTGGATTTATGTTGTCGCCAGCAGATTTTCATGCCCTACTTGTTACGGTGTAGTTACCTTACCCATTATGCAAGCTGGTTTTTTTAATTTATTTATTTTTCTGTTCATGCAGAGTTGCAGACAAAAACGATAATTTTTTATTTTTATTTACATTTTAATAATAAAAAAAGATAACAGTTTCGAATTTTATAACCAGTTGAACTATTCTTTATTTATTTATTTATTTTTGATAAGTATATAACCAGTACAACTGATGTGAGAAATAAATGCTTCAGATAAACTTTATTACATTAATTACCGTATGAGAGTACTTGTTGGTTTTTTTTTTTTTTTTTTTTTTTCGATACTTGTTGGTTGGATGGTGCTGATTTGGAGTCCCAAAAAAACCAATTCAAAAGGCATTCTCTTACCAAGAAAAATGAATTATTGTTATTAGTGTAACGGTCTATAAAAATATAAATTCGCGTGCAAATTACTTTATATAAAACATATAAGATTTTTTTTTTATAAGTATAAAACATACTAGATATATATATATATATATATATATATATATACTATAATAGTATTATTAAATTTTTAAAAACACTTCGTAATTTACTACCGACACATGACATATGTTATTCTCATATCAAATAATCGAATGAATTCATACTCTTGACCCCCAATGATACGGTTTAAAAAGATAAATATAGTACTCTGATAAGGACATTAAAGTACCTTATCTAAAAGATTAGTATTTTGTGAATAGTTTGTGGGAAGGCCATATTCGTCGCACTCTACTTTTTAATCTTTACAATGAAATAACAATTTTTACTTTACCTTTACAAGTAAATAGTTATTACTTTTTAAATAACACAATTGCCCTTTCATATTTTCTTTCCTTATTTCTAATCTTTAATATTTTAAGTATCTTTTGACAACACAAATAAAATAAAATAAAAATTGAATAAAATTTTCTAAGGGACCAAAAAATAAATAAAATTTTTTTATGCTGAATAAATTGTGTCTTTTGGCAGGATAAAAAAATAAAAAGTAACCATTTAAAAGATTATCTTTTTTGACATGAAGAAAAAAAATTTCAAAAAAATATTTTTATTGAATAAATTATCTCTGTTGTCAAGATCCCAAAAATAATAATAATAATAAAAAGTACAAAAGGAAAAGGAAGATGATTAAAAATAAATTAATTCTATTGAATAAATTATCTCCTTTGATAAGGCCCAAAAAAAAAAAAAAAAAAGTGAGAAGTTATTCTCATAAAAAATCACCAAAAATAAAGTTACCTGTTTTGACAAAATTGAAAAAAAAGAGTCAATTTTGTTGAATAAATATCTCTTTCCATTGTACCCAAAATAAATAAATAAATAAATTATTCCTTTTGACCGCCAAAAATATATATTATTTTTGCTTACCAATATGTCTCGGGAGTAAAAAAATTGTCCTAGTTACCAGCCATCAAATTCATTTATCCAAGATGTGTGTTTTCCATCCATATTCCAACATTGAAATGTATATTGGGTTTAGAGTGGGGTTGCACCATTTGCATGTCCGGCAAACAAAGCAGTTGGGTTTGTAATAGTCAATGTCGGCCCACTATTATGTCCAGGTGCTCCGATCAGCTGGGCATGGGCCCATCTTTAAGAAAACATACATAACCAACAAGCCCCTAGTTCACCAGAAAATGGTTGCTATGTTATTTTATTATTATTTTTTCTTTCAATGATAAGAAATATTCACAGAGTCACTTTGTCTCTTTAAACCCTCGACCCCTCACCATCCATTTTGAAAAGTAAAAGGTATAACACTGAGTTACATCCATTTTGAAAAGTAAAAGGTATAACACTGAGTTACATGACCCTTGATAAAAAGGTTGATATGTTTGGTACAATGAAAAAAACAAAGTAATAATAATTGGTTAATTAATAAAAGAAACATAGAGAAAAGGATGATAATCATGTTTGGAAAAAAAAACTTAAAAGAAACTATTTTAATTAATTTTTTACTATATCCCTTTTAACATATTTTGTGTTTTTAAAAAATAATAGAAGACTGTTCGGTATTCAAAAAGTTTCAAAAAAAAATACTACTCTCTTTATTCCATATTACTGGTCAATTTTTCTATTTTAAAGTGTCTTAAATTAGTTGTTCATTTTGAAAAGTCAAACAAATTAAATACAATATTTACTTAATTACCCTTCTAATTTTTTAAAAATCTTTTAACTCGTATCTTATATATTTAAAGTTTAAAGGACAACTTAATAATTTAAAAATATAACAATATGGGATGGAGGGAGTAATATTTCCTTCCATTTTTTCCCTTTCAGTTTTTTAGACAATAATAAAACCAACTCACCAAGATTTGTTTTATCTCTTCAAATTATTTTTTTTCCTTTTATTTTTGTTTTGAAAGAAAAAAATTGAATGGAAGGGAGAAAAGAATGAATAGATAAAACATTATAGAGAATATAATAAGTTCATAATTTACTATATTTATCATGAGATAAGGAAAAAAAAAAAAGTTTCAGTTGTCCAATAATATATATAATATTATAATTTATAAAGGATAGTATTGTAATTTAAAACTTATATAATTTAAGATGATATTCAATTTAAATTTTTTATAATAGTCTACTTGTCTCTGTCGAACGAAAGTTCACTCCTTCATTTCTAATTTCTCTCCGCACATCTTTCTTCTTTTTAACTGAAATTAGCGTTAGAGCCGTAACATCCACAAAATTGGGCACCGGCATGTAATCTTGGTAAAGTTCATGGTCATTATACAGTGCAATCCCCGTGAATTAAGGGTATGCGAGGGATGAAGTGAATACAGATCTAAAAAAATGATTGTTTTCCGGATGGGAAAAGTTCAAACATTTTTATGTTCTTCTTGGACAAGACTTTTCGGAACTTGGTTTGATAAAAAGTCAAACAGTTACTCAAGGTAAAAAGCCTGTATAAGTATTTTACTCATTTTTTTTTTTTTTTTTTGGTGCTTATCAAGCTAAAGCCCCTTATGTGTTTGGC